GATATTGAGATCAGCTGTGACTTGAAAATGTAAAAAATGAAGGAACATTAGTATGCACAAGGTGTCGGTGAATACGCGATACAGCGCCGCGTATCCCATAATTTTTTAGTCAATATATCACGACTGACAAGATCAATCAGGGAAAACCATGAATAATGAAAGTAAGGGGAGTCATCAAAAGAAGATGTCGAAAGCTAATGACCTCACATCAAAAGTGACCTTTCAAACCGCTTGGGAGATTAGACAGTTTGTTTGAAGTCCTATCTCAATGTTTCTTCATTTCAAATGAGATGAAATTAAGAATTCTGTTGTGACGGCAAAAGTTGGAAACTGTTCATGGGACCCACAATTTTCTCAAGAATACTCTAGCGTGACTTATGAAGGCGCATGTCATCATTTTTCAATAACAATTTCATTACTGACAGTGATCAACCAGGTACAAAAAATCCTCAAAACCCCACACTTTGAAAAACATTAAAAATCTCATCAGACCCATTACTACTGAGAGGATCAACCAGGGAAAATAAACGAAATAAAATTACGAATTATGTTATAATGACAAAAATTGGAAACTGTCACCGTTTTTTAATAGAACCATGTCATCACTGACAGTGATCAACCAGGTACAAAAAAATCCTCAAAACCCCACGATTTACCAGGCCACGAACCCATCACCATCACAACATCAAAAGTAACTTAATCACAGGTACGATTAAAATGAAAATATTCTTTGAAGTTGTATCTCGACATTTCTAAAGCATTAGCATGAGAACCCCACAGAATATAATTCACGCATCGAGAGCAAGAACATTACACCAATTGTTTGAATGAATGTCTCAATATTTCTGAAGAATTACGCCACTACCGACAGGATCAACCAGGGAAAATAAACGAAATAAAATTACGAATTATGTTATAATGACAAAAATTGGAAACTGTCACCGTTTTTTAATAGAACCATGTCATCACTGACAGTGATCAACCAGGTACAAAAAAATCCTCAAAACCCCACGATTTACCTGGCCACAAACCCATCACCATCACAACATCAAAAGTAACTTAATCACAGGTACGATTAAAATGAAAATATTCTTTGAAATTGTATCTCGACATTTCTAAAGCATTAGCATAAGAACCCCACAGAATATAATTCACGCATCGAGAGCAAGAACATTACACCAATTGTTTGAATGAATGTCTCAATATTTCTGAAGAATTACGCCACTACCGACAGGATCAACCAGGGAAAATAAACGAAATAAAATTACGAATTATGTTATAATGACAAAAATTGGAAACTGTCACCGTTTTTTAATAGAACCATGTCATCACTGACAGTGATCAACCAGGTACAAAAAAATCCTCAAAACCCCACGATTTACCAGGCCACGAAGCCATCGCCATCACAACATCAAAAGTAACTTAATCACAGGTCCGATTAAAATGAAAATATTCTTTGAAGTTGTATCTCGACATTTTTAAAGCATTAGCATAAGAACCCCACAGAATATAATTCACGCATCGAGAGCAAGAACATTACACCAATTGTTTGAATGAATGTCTCAATATTTCTGAAGAATTACGCCACTACCGACAGGATCAACCAGGGAAAAAAAACGAAATAAAATTACGAATTATGTTATAATGACAAAAATTGGAAACTGTCACCGTTTTTTAATAGAACCATGTCATCACTGACAGTGATCAACCAGGTACAAAAAAATCCTCAAAACCCCACGATTTACCAGGCCACGACCCCATCACCATCACAACATCAAAAGTAACTTAATCACAGGTCCGATTAAAATGAAAATATTCTTTGAAGTTGTATCTCGACATTTCTAAAGCATTAGCATAAGAACCCCACAGAATATAATTCACGCATCGAGAGCAAGAACATTACACCAATTGTTTGAATGAATGTCTCAATATTTCTGAAGAATTACGCCACTACCGACAGGACCAACCAGGGAAAACAAACGAAATAAAATTACGAATTATGTTATAATGACAAAAATTGGAAACTGTCACCGTTTTTTAATAGAACCATGTCATCACTGACAGTGATCAACCAGGTACAAAAAAATCCTCAAAACCCCACGATTTACCAGGCCACGAACCCATCACCATCACAACATCAAAAGTAACTTAATCACAGGTCCGATTAAAATGAAAATATTCTTTGAAGTTGTATCTCGACATTTCTAAAGCATTAGCATAAGAACCCCACGGTATATAATTCATGCATCGAGAGAAAGAATCCCATAGTCGGCATTCAGAGATCTCCAGACTGCTGCACCAGTCTCTTTTTCTCCCTTCTCTCCCCCTCTCTCTCCTCTCTACCATTTGCCGGCTCTCACTTGTCTCGTCCATCTTTCTGTCTCCATTCTCTGCGTTTTACCAACGTCGTGAGATCGTTACCAGAGATAAATCTGATCTTTGGTCTACTTTGGTGGAGCCGATTGCTCCTGGTGATCGGCCCACGAGGTGAAGTGCCTCGGACACAGCATCACTAGAGGCACCACGGGAGATGGCTCGACCCATACCTGGTATCCCAGGGTGGATAAGATCGTTTCGAGTGATAGTGAGAGTGTGGGGGCCATTCTCGGAGATTTTCGAGTCGATTTTAATGTTACGTTTTTTTTTTGGACCTTCCGGGGAGAATGGGAATGGATTGGGAGAGTGTGCCCCTACGGTGGTGTTAAAATGCCATTTTTAAACGTTCTGAGGATACATTGATGGCTGATGTCAATCGCCATGAGGTGAACGATTATTCTTGGCATCTGAGCATCGTGTCGGCACTTTGGATTTTTTATTGTTGTAATTCGTCACAGTTGGCGCCATTTCGCGGAGTGGTCGGAATCGTTTGACTTTACTTCATCATTTTGAAGATCATTCAATTAGTGAGGAATGAGCGCGTGAACGATTCTGGTAAAATTTGTCATTTAGAAATTATTCAGAATGTTTATCCAACATTTATATATTAAATATAGAATCATCATCAATAAAAATTGTGTGGCGAGAATCATTACTAAACCTTGAGCTTTTTTAAGGCCCATCATGGCAATAATATAACATTATTGGCCAATAGCGTACCCCTCAACATTTATATATATATTTTTATTTATTTTGTTTGGAATTGTTTTACCCTATCATTCGGTTTATCTATAATAATTGGTAAATATATGAATAAATTATAAACCATGATTTCTTATGCCGAACTCTCTGGGCCTGTTCTGTCGCCTCTTGGGAAATACTTAATGCTTCTGTTGAAATTTTTGAAAAATGAAGTTTCCGCTTTGCTACTCCGCTTTCATTAGGCCATTTGTAGCTCACTAATACATTAATGCAGATGTGAGAAGTGTCTCAGGAAACACATTGCCGACACATTGAGTTTGGGATCTAGTTTCGGGATCCCTGTCCGTCGGCGCTCGCTCACAAGTGGTGGAGGCTTGACGAATACTTCGTTTCCTGGATTTAATTTTCTCTGGATTTGTAGATGTTCCATATTTCCGGTTGAAATCACTCACCCTCCGCTCATTGAATTCTCTCCTCCCTCTTATATCGTGGAAATTCTAATTTTCAATTGAACAATCATCGCACGCACTTAAATATTATAATGAGAAATTTTTAAAAATGAGAATTGCAAAAAAATAGAAAATTGCAAAATAGATCGCGTATTTGATTTCTCATTTTATGAACTACGGATTATTTTTTTCTTTCGTTCAATTCCGGGAAACTTCTGATTACGTCGCTCTCTCATTAATTTTTTTTAATTATTCAATCCCCTCTATTTATCTCAGGCGGAACCTTCTGCATTTCAAATTTACAACCGGTAATGCTGTCACTGTTGACAAAAGAAATTCCCGTTGTAGGTGTGTGATTCCCTCCTGACCGACAATTTTCCGAATAATATAATCTCATGCGTTGTTTCCAGCCCGTCCCACAAGTAGTTTTGAACTGTGCTGTAAGAGGGCACTACGGTTGCCCAAAAATATTTCGGAATCTAAGGGGGATAGCCAATTTTTGAATATAACCTTTTTTGTAGACCCGATTGAGAGCTACAACAAATGTAATCACGAAAATTTCGCTATCTCCCTTAGATTCGGAAATTTTCTTCAAAAACAACTGGGAGATGAGTCGACTTAAACCGTTTTACCACTTCGCTACTGAATTAATTCATCTGTCAGTGTAATGCTGCTCAGATCATCCCCCCTTCGCCGTTTCGCCGAGCGCGCGTGCTCCCTTCTCCGACTTCTCGTGACTCATCGCCATTGGAGGGTTCACTTGGACCAAAATCTGGCCCCCGGGAAGTTGTGCATTCGGGGATGTTGATTGGATACTGAAGAATTTAGAACTCAGCGGAGCGATTTTGCTCGTTTTAGGTCGACATAAAATCATAAATTTCAACCAATCCTAGTTGAGTATTCCGAATTCAGGAATGTCATTGGTTGAAATGTACGATTTTATGTCGATACTAGCGAACGGGCGCTTCGCGCCCAAATACAAATTGTGGGAAGAGTTTTTCTCATTTTCGAATGAAGAGATATTCATGATAAATAATAAGGAGAGTATATTGGTAGGAGGGAGATTGATACTTTTTGTTGTGACGATGATCGATTCGCAAGAAAATGAACATTTCGATTTTTCAATGTCTCCGGAAAGTTTTAAAATTGATATATTTTTTCAAATAATGAAAGAATACCCATCAATTCAATTTCTATCCTCACATTTTGAACGAATACATAAAAAAAATAGCGAAGAATAAAAATCGGATGAAAAATTTTATCGGATTAATATAATGTGATAAAACGAGCAAAATCGCTCCCCTGAACCCTTAAACTCGGAGAATGTCACTCCCGACCTCTTACAGAGCCTCCAGTCTCTGTATAATCCGCATCACAGATGCCTCTTCCCTCTCTTTCTCCTCTCCCTCGCGAAATTGGAAATTTTCAAGGCCATGTTGGCGCCAGCGTTGCCCAGCGGTGGCGTCAGTAACCACCAGTAGTTAGCGTTCGTATCCTGCAACAAGTGGTCTGCGGACTGAAGCCCATCGAGAGCAGATTGTCAACTCAACTAACAATTTATAACCAGAACCAACGAAAATGAGTTGTTCTGCGAATCCCAGGGATTCGCACGAGTCCAATAATTTGATAAGGAAAATGGCTCTCTCCGAGGCGTTTTCGCTCCTCGACGAGTCATGCAAGAGCGAACATTCCCCCTCTCAAGCCAACGCTCGCGATGACGCTCCTGAGGTTCAAGGCCCCTGGAACATAATAATCGTCAATCAAATTCCGCTGAAAATTGATGACGAAAAGTTCATTTCCATTTTCTCAAAATACGGGAGGATTCGGGGCACTTATATGTGCCATCCGAGGAAGAGGCGCACTCGCAAGCATGAGAGGACAGCAAGACTAACGTTCGAGAGCGAAGCGGACGCCTGGAAAGTCTGGGAAGCCGCCCAGGAGAAGCTGATCAAGTACGACGATCAGGTCTTGATGATCACTTTGGCAGCGGACGACTACTCGCCCATCCAGAATTTGCCGGACTTTTGTCTGCGCGAGATCTTTCGAAATATCCACTCGGTCAAGGATAAACTACTCCTGGAGATGGTCTGCCAGCGGTGGAGGGACAGCGGCCGGTGCAGCTGGTCGAATATCAGGGAAATTGGAAATGAGCGCTGGGACATTCGCACCTGGAGGATGATCCTCTCGAGGGTGGGGGGCTCGCTGAGGAATGTCACCTTGAAGCTGTATCAGCACGAGCACAATTTTCTTCAGGAAGTTGCGGAGCGCTGCGCGCGCATCGAGAAATTGGAGTGCAGGCTGATCGAGGTGCTGAGTCACCCATCGAATTCTAATGGTTTTCGCGCAGCGCTGGAGAGGGACTTGGGTGCGCATAGACTTAGGTACATCTTCCAAGGACTCGACGATGTGTACATGCAGCTGGGTATCTTCCCGCCAGATTTGACGGAGGACCACTCGCTGGTCAACACGCTGCAGACTATACCTCTGACTGTAGTGAGTGGATGGGGCAGCTCGAGTCAATTTAATTTATTCAATTTTTGGGGGATGCCGACCTCCAGAATTTTCACATTTGGAATTTTCTCAATTTTTGTTTACTGCAGAATTTTCTGGAAATTTTGTAAAAAAAATGGAATTTAAAAAAAAAACTTCAGAAGTTTTTCGAAAGTTTAAGAAAATGCGAGAATTTTCTGGGATTTTTTGGCAAAGTTCGAAATTTTTTTAAACTTTTTGAAATTCTGGAAAGTTTCCTAAAATTTCCAAATTTTGAATTTCCAAAATTCAATTTTTTATAAGCAAATTCCAGAAATCTTCAGAAGGTTCTAAAAATCTCTGAAGCTCTCTGCGTCGCGACCCCCAGGGGTTGATTTTCAAAAAAATAAAAACGATGTACCAAATAAATTTCCATAAATTTCCAGTAAATTTCCATTTGCAGGCTCTATCCAACTTCCAGAATTTGCAAATTCTCAGACTTCACGGGTTCCGTATAACCGACGATAAATTGATTGATGGTCTAATTAATTTGGAACAACTGTCATTGATTAACTGCGACATACCAGAGCCTGTTCTCTCAAACATCCTGAGAAACAACAAGGGCTTAAAGTATTTGACACTGGGTAAGATTCACTATATTTTTACGACGTTTCCTCCTTGATCTGATGATTATACCATTGACCATTAAATTAAAAATGCCGATATTTAATTCATTCAAGTAGTATATCCAAACTACACGTCAGACGTTGTGTAAAATGCCCAAAAAAATTAATACTTTTTTTCCTTTATCCAGCAATTACCGATCTATGCTTGACATAAAAAATTAATTCATAATTGATAATTTTTAGCACGAATTCTCTCTCTGATGACTGTGACAGATTAATCCATCAAAGTCAATTTAGTCTTTAGTTGAGTTTTTCAGAAATATTTCCGAATTTAAGGGAGATGGCGAAATTTTCATAATAACCTTTTTTGTAGAGCGAATTGAGTGCTACTAAAAAGGTTATGAGAAAAATTTTGCTATCTCCCTTAGATTTCGAGATATTCATGGAAAACTGGCCAATAGCCAAAATCTACTTAAACCATTTGACCCCTTTGCTGCTGAATTATCATTAATAATACAGTCCAGTATTATTTATAATAATTCCGTACTCTAGTATGATTATCAATTAATTGATATTATTAATTAAAATAAATTATTATCAATAATACTAAACTGTATTATTAATGATAATAATCCCACTGTTTTGACTCACATCGACTTTACAATTCCCTTCACATTTGCATCTTCAAAATTTAAGTTACATTTATACTCCTTTAAGGAATGGACAATTTGAGTGACAGATCGCTCACGTGCGTGCAGCAGCTCTCGAACTTGAAAGTTCTCGTGATGGAGTCAAAAAGGCTGACCGATGCATTTTTTGGTGAAACTCCGAGACTAAAAGGCCTCATGTGCTCTTCCTGCCACCTGATCACTGACGAAGGAATCCACAACTTCTTCAACTCAGCTGTCAACATCGAGAAGCTATGCATCGTGAATTGTCCGATTACCCTGGAATCCCTGGAAGTTGCGCAGGAGTGGACGGAGCGCAGAGGAAAACCCCTGAAGTTGTTCGTCGATGAATATTTATTCTACAGATATTCTAAATCAGACCTGCAAGATACTGAAGGCTTCCAAGTCATCGAGTTCAATCGAGAGGAGGTGTGCGGTGAGCTGGACTCAGGGAAGTGGGGCCTGGAGCTCTTGGAGTGAGGAGAAATCATGAACAGATAAATTCCCATTCGTCAATCGTCAGTTCTCTTCATAATCATGTGCTTAAGCAATATTCTGTTGCATAAATAAATTCTTTTCTCTATCATGTCTCGTGTTCACTCATTATTTTCGCGTTTCCATTGCCATCGCATTCTTTTTTCGTAGAAAATAATACAGAAAATTATTTAATATTTACATTTATGTTCTAGTTTCCTTTTACTTAATTCTATTTGTTAATTAGTTCGCGGTTTTTTCTCTGGTGGAGGCCTCATGTCCTTTTTATCAGTCTTTTCTTGCTTCACTTCAACAGCTGAAAAATTAAAATTAATTGAAGGGTTAATTCAGTAATTAAATTGTGGAGAGCAAAAATAAATTGTAGAATGCATTTACTCATTATTTTAGAAAGTGATAGATCTGAGGAGAAATGAAGAAACTTTGGAGAAAATTCAATTCAGATTTCCGGATAAAGATTTGATGCACAAATTTTTATCAATTGATAAATTGATTAATTGACAATAATTTATCACAATTTAGCTAATAATTTGATAAATTCATTTGATGAATTGAGTTCAAATGAATTTATCAAATTATTTGTTAAATTGTGATAAATTATTGTCAATTAATCAATTAATCAATTGATAAAAATTTGTACATCAAATCTTTATCCGGAAATCTGAATTGAATTTTCTACAAAGTTTCTTCATTTATTAATTCATTTATCAAATTATCAATTGATTGATTAATTGATAATTTGATAAATGAATTGATAAATTATCAATTGCCAATAAAAATTGAGTTCAGATGTTTTTCAAGTCTTTGTGGAAAATTCAATTTAATTTCAGGTGTAAGAATATTCAATAATTATTCTGCTTTATGAATCAACAACAATAAGATTCAATTCGTCATTTTATCCTGAATATTCTACTCACGAGGATCAGCTGGGGGCTGCACTGGTTTGGGCACAGGCAGAGGGAATTTCCTAGTGATCTCAGCAAGCAGCATATCAACTCTCTGACGCTGAAAGAGAGAGCTGGGTTCCTCTCGGGAAGGCACTTCCTTCTTCGTAGCCAGGGATTTCCCGTTCTTGAAGTCCCAGGAGTAGCCCTTGCTCGGGTGATATCGCGAGCACCCACTGGCCTCCTCGAAGGCTGATTGGAGGTGGTGAATTGTCGACAACTGCGGGGAATAATAAAAAGTTGGGGAATTCAACAGCAGATTTTTAAAGTCAGGAGAACAAAGAAGAAAGTTTAAAAACTTGAATAATTAAGATTAATTAAATTATTCTAATAAAAATAATTGAAAATAATTATTAGGAATAAATGCAATGATTGTTTTTATGCCTAAATTATTGAAATGAAGATTTAGATTCTCTCAGATTTTAATCTTAAAAACTCAAGTTATGTTTACACTATTTTCAATAGCTTTGGGACTCAATGAGATTCTATAAAATTTTTTTGAGGATGATTACTCACAAGTCTTGAATTAACAACAGACGCGAGATCAGGTGCTTGATACACAACCCCAGCGATGATGTAGTAATCGGCGAGTGGAGTGACCTGAGTTGGTGAATAACGATTTTGCTTTCTGATGACGTAGAGAATGGGCTCCTGCACGTGGAGTAGGATATATTCGAGTCCTGTCATGTTTCTGTACAACAAAAAAATCCCAGTTAAATACCCAAAACATTGAAATTGCTAAAAAAAAAATTGCTAACAGACTAGTCAAATTTTCTGTTTTTCCTGGCTCAATTTCACGGAAAATTGAATAGAAAATGAAATTAAATCTAAATAATTAAAATTAATTATTAATTAATTTCATAATATTTATTAATTATTAGTTATCAAAAAACCCCGAAGATTTGGTTAATTAATTTAATCATATTTATTAATAAATAGTAATTAATTATTAAATTAATTAATTAATTAAATATTTCAAAGTTAGAATTAAACAACGTAGAATTTAATATGCACATTTTGAAATTGAAATGCGAGAATTTTAATTTCTGCAGAGAAAGTCTTAATAATTTTCCAATATATTTTTTTTCACAAAAAAATGTAAATGAAAATAAATAAAAATTTCTCGTGACCCCATTCCCTTAAAAAATGACCAAAAATAATTCTGCAAACATGAATTCTCCCTGAAGAAAAAACTGAAGACCAAAAACTCACTGAAGTTGTTCTGGATTGAGCCTCTGCATCTTGATGAGTGCATTGTTGCAAGAGCTGTCGTAGAACGGATTGCTACGTTCGGAGAAGTAGTCCATGATGTTGCTGGGGTTGAGGATGGGGATCCAGGCGCTGTCGTGCCAGGAGAGCCCCAGGGGATTGTCTGTGAGCCCATGAAGACCAATTAAAACCCTAGAACGAGGTTATTTTCCCCTCGCTCCACCACCGCCGCCCAAAAATCCACCCAAATGACCCTTAACCGAATAAAAATCGACTCACCAGGCCTCACGGACATCATCGTCGCCAGTTTAGCAGTTGAATGCTCAATTTTTACGATGAAAAACGAAAAATTGACGTTCCGCAGCCTCTGAAGATGTAAACAAGGGATTCAGCGATGAGTTGAGTCGATAAAGGTGGAATCTCCACTGGTGACGCCCTTAATATGTCAAAAAAACAGCAACTAACCTCTGGAAATGACACTCTGACGTTTTTTCTGAATAAAAATAAACAGTTATGATCGAGGAAATTAATTTATTTTCGTGAACAAATGGGGGATTCAGGGTTGGAGTGATATTGTTGACAATACAGCCCTTCGAGATGATGCAACAGTATATGAAGGAGCTCGAACAGGTGAGGGCAACAATAGACGTCAATTAGTGTCAGTAGAACCGTCAAAAATTCCAAATTTCGAATTCTCGTGACCTCTGCCCCAAAATTCACAGAATTTTATTGTAATTTTACCCCAATACAATACAATAATTTACAATAAAATAATTATTGTAATTATTGTAATTCAAGTAATTTTACCCCTAAAATCTTTTTATTTTAATTTTACCCCAAAATTACAATCAAATTCTGTGAATTTTAGGGTAAAATTAAAATAAAAAAATTTTTGGGATAAAATTACTTGAATTTAGCTCAAAACCTATAAAATAATGCTCTTGACAGGTGTCTGAATGTAAACGTAATTCTTTGAGAATTTTTTATTGAAATATCCACTGTTTTTTTGTGGGATTTTGAGTGAATAAAAACGTTGACAGGTGCTAAACCCAGAAAAATAACGTTTGTAAGACACATGAAACTTTTTTTTAGAATTTATTTATTCTTATTCTTTAATTTATATATTCTTGTTGAAAATTCATAAACTCACGTATTTATTCCAGTAAAAATGTAATAAATAAATAAGTCAATAAATTTCTAATAATATAAAATAAGAAAAAAAAAACTTCAAGTGTAATTTTTAATGAAAGCTTTCTTACAAGTGTTTCGACAATTAATTTAATTTTAATAAACTATTCCCCTGGGTGTATCCCTAATTACAACTCAATCCGATAAATAATTAAATAACTGAGAAAGGCCTGGGAAAAGTCTTGAGCGATATTCGCCAGTTTTTAATGAATATCTCGGAATCTAAGGCAGATATCAAAAATTTTGTTACCACCTTTTTTGTAGCCCCCAGTTCGCTCTACAAAAAAGGTTATTACAAAAATTTCGCTATCTCCCTTAGATTTCGAGATATCCCTCGAAAACTCAGCTAAGTCCACATTCCCAAAATTCTCAAAATAACAAAAAATGAAATAAAAGAGAATAAAATGAATTAAAATCTGGCTGAAAATATTACCCACTCGTTAAACTCCACATGTTCATACCAAGCAGTATGAAAAAATCGTTCGCAACCAATGAAAAAAAAAAATTCCTGGCAAATGAAAAATCATTTCGTCAGGAGCCCTTCGACCCTGAGGAGTTCGTGGAGCGTCTGGCCTGGAGAACAGTGAATGATTCAGTGGTGGACGGGCTGAAAGGCTCGTTCGACCCTGTTCTGGTGCACGAGACCTTCGTCCACGCCATCAAGGACCTCCAGGTCCTCGAGGAGCGCCAGCAGAAGAAGTGCGAGAAGCTGGAGCTCGCCCTCAAGGAGGAGGACACCAGGCACGCTCTGGAGATCATTGAGCTGCAGGACAAGAACAAGAGGGCGATGGAGCTGTTCCATCAGCTGGATGAAAGGATCAACTTCGTTGCGACGAAGGTCCTCCACCTGGGGGACCAGCTGGAGAGCGTCAACACCCCCAGGGCCAGGGCTGTGGAGGCCCAGAAGTTGATGAGACACTTCTCCGAGTTTTTGAGCCCTGGACCACTGACTGATCCCATCTTCACGGATAAATCAACGGTGAGAAATCAGTCGTCAGTTAATTTTCTTTTTTCAGGTGTTCATTTTTTTTCGGCAAGACTCGACTGCAATTTGGTGAAAAAATCAGGGAAAATGTGACTTTACGTTTAAATGTGAAGTTAAGTTGAAAGAAAATTGAGGAAAATGAGGGAAATTCGGGAATTTTTAATTTATTGAAAATTGAGGGTAATTTGGGACTGAATATTTAGCTTTTGAAGGGAAATTCAAGGGAATTGGGAAATTCTGGTCTACCTGCTGTTAAATATTTGGAATTCCATTGGATTTTCAGTGAAATTTGCAATTTCACCATTCTTTTCTCCAAAACTATGAATATAAACTATTTTATATTTTCTTCACACTGCACAAATGTCTCCAAATAAATGTGTAGCCATTTATTTCTACTTCTGTATGAAATAAACATTTTTCCGGTAAATTTCGTAGAAATCTGAATCAACTGCCAATTAACAGAAAATTAAGAAAACTACGAAATGTCATCTAAATATATTCAAATGTTCAACTAATCAAAAATGAGTGTAATTTGGTGCTAAATATCCATTCTTTAATTATAAATTCAAGTAAATAAGGGAATTTTCCTCTGCTGCTGCTCAAAAATTAGTAATTCAACCGAACATTAATCGAAACGTGAAATTTCCCACTTTTTTCGGCTCTAAATCCCCTCGATGTCATTCTCCATGACCTTTAGTTGGACGTGGCAGCAGATGTCATCCAAAAACTCCACCTGATATCCCAAGAGCTCCCCTCCGACAAGTTCAACGAGGCGAAGGAGAAAATAGCCTCGAAGTACGACGAAATCGAGAGGAGTCTGATCGAGGAATTCGTCAGGGCCCACAACAGCGACGACGCGGAGCGAATGAAGGAATTGGCGAGTGTCTTGTCGCACTTCAAGGGATACTCCCAGTGCATAAACGCGTTCATAGAGCAGAGCCAGATGGGCTCGTTCGGCTCCAAGGACGTTTTCCTGAACGTCATCCCCATGTGCCAGAAGAATTACAAACTCATGCAGCAGGTCTTCTCGAACCCCGAGCAGGTCATGGCGAAATTTGTCCTCAATATTTATCACCTGAGGCTGCAGAAGTATGCAGTTGCCAAGCTGAGTGACCAAACAGACTCCGATAAGTACTTGAGCAATTTGTACGATCTCTACTCGAAGACAACGAAGTTGTCGATGGACTTGAGGCAGTTTGACATGGGAACTGATGAGGCCTACTTGACTAAATTGACGAGAAATATTTTTCAGAAGCATCTGGATACTTATCCGAGGTAAATTCACGTCTTTAGTAATATAATTCACAAATTATCGCATATTTTGCGCCCAAATCAACAAATTGGAATTGTTTTATTTTTGGATTTTCGAATTTTAATGGGAAATCATGGAGAATGGCCTGAAATGTGAGAATACGATAAATTAAAGGACTAGAATATTTTCAGAGAATCTCAAATGTCTCAGGAAAATAGTGACAACTATTATATCAAAAATATTTTAAATTGGCGCAATTTACATAAAAAAATTGACATATAAAATATTATATATTTATAATAATATTTATAAATATAAAAAACAATATCAATAATATAATACAATGTTGCTTTTTTTTATTATAATATATTTCATAATTTTTTAATCCATTCTTTATAAATTTGAAAAATATATGGAATGGACCGATATTAGATATTTTTTAAATAAATTGTTTAGCGAATTCTCCCCTTTGAAATTAATTTTTTCTCACAAGCCAAAAATGAAAAAGTTAACGACAAAAATCGTATTTTTTAATTCCCAATTACGTGAATTTGGAATTCAATGAATTGCTGCTGTGGAAAATTTTCCAGGAAAAAATTTCCGGGGGATTTTTCACAGGGGAAATAAAATCTCGTTACCAAAATAATTCACTCTCCCTCCCTCCAGCATCGAGTTGAAGGCGCTGCGTGAGAAATCATCCGCCCTTCTGATCGAATACTACGAGTCGAAGAATCACCAGAAGAAGCAGCTGCAGACGGGTGGCTTCCAGGAGCTCCGACGTGACCTGCAGGCAGTGCTGGGCACCAGAGCCAACATAAACATCGCCCAGATCGAGGACTACGGTGGGGAGACCTTCCTCTCGGAGGAGCTGGCCATAGCCCTCCTCCAGCGTTCGAAGCTGGCGTGCCAGAGGTGCCAGGCGCTCTCCCAGCCAGGGGACCTGCCCCTCAACGCCCTGATGATCCTGGAGATCCTCCTCCAGCACCTGATGAACGAGCACGTCGACTACGCCCTCGAGCTGGGCCTCCAGAGTGTCCCCATCCCAGAGAGCAGAACTCCCCCTGACATTCACTTCTTCAGAATAGCGAGGCAGTGCAACGCGATCGTTAAACTTCTCGAGGAGCAGTTCAACGACAGCCTCGTGCCCCTGGTGATCTCCACGCCGAAGCATGGGGACTGTTCGTCGAGGCAGAAGTCCGTTCTGCTGCAGATCGAGATGAAGCTGGACACTGGACTGGACAGGAGCATCAACGCCATCGTGGGCTGGGTCAGGATGTACCTGCAGAGTGAGCAGAAGAAGACTGACTTCAAGCCTGAGGGGGATGTCGACACCCTGAGTACTCCAGCCTGTCTCGCTGTGGTGCAGTACGTCACCAGCATGATCAGGCACATCAGGGACAGCCTCGATGGGAAGAACTGCGAGAATGTCATGATGGAGCTGGGGATCAGGTCGGTCACAGCATCGTCTTTTATTCTCATATTTCATGAGTACACACTGAGAAAAAAATATATTTTTGCCAAATATCCATTTACTTGAGAGAAGTATTAATTTTTTAAAGTCGAATTTCTCTACCGGAGTCATTCCCAGACGAGTCCGATTAGGTTGCAATTATGACAATCATGTTGCTCTAGAGGAAGACTATGCTCTACATGAACTCCATCAATAATTATTCATTTTTCCTCAATTTCTTGTTTTCTAGGGGAAAGAATTTTGAAGTTTTTTAATGTTGATAATTATTGAGGGAGTTCACTCAAGATCATAGCTAACATGATCATCTTCTATAGCAATATAATTGTTACAATTGAAGCCTAATGAGAATTGACCGGGAATGACTCGGCAGGAGAAGTATGGAATTGAAAAAATAAATACTTCTCTCAAGTAAATGGGTATTTGGCAAAAATAATTTTTTTTCTCAGTGCATTGAGAGAAAAACGACAATGTTCTCAAACAAGTCTTACTTGCGCCGTGAAAATAGGTTTTTCAAAATTATCAAGAGGATTTTTTGGGCCAGACGTGCAGAGAGTGCGCCGGAATGAAAAATTTCTGTCGCAAAAATAGATTTAGTGGAGCAAACAAAATTGCATTCTCTGTACACGCAAGAAATGTCATTTCTACCACTACTCCTTCGTTATTCGATACTCCCATGCTCGTTTCGGCTGTCTGATAATCACAGACAAGAAATGAACCCTTAAATGAAACAATAATAATGATATGATAGCAATCTTGTAATTTAGGGATAAAATATTTGTTGATAAATTTTCCTCTGTATGAGATATTTTCATCCTGAGAAGCAGAACATTAATCATTCAGCCAATTATTTGATAAATTTTGATGAAAAGTATTAAAAACTCCTCAAATCACAAATTAATAAATGGAAAATCACTTGTCAGAGGAGTTGTACAATTGAAATAATTATTTTAATACTGGATTAATATCGAATAATGTAATAAGGAGGGGTGATTCGAATGAAATATCGTTACAGGTTCCACAGGGTCATTTACGAACATCTCCAGGGGTTCCAGTTCAACTCGGCTGGGGCCATGTGCGCTATCTGCGATATGAATGAGTATAGGAAGTGCGTGAAGGAGCTGGGGGTGGGGATCGTTAGCTCGCTGTTCGATACTCTTCATGCTTTGTGTAATTTACTGCTGGTGAAACCGGCGAATCTTATGCAAGTGTGCACTGGGGATCAACTGGTGAGTTCTTAGATTTTTATTGAGAATTTAATTGTATTTTTTTTTTTTAAAGTATGTAGAAAAAACGCGGAATTTTTTTAAGAGAAGTCCAATAGAATTATTTTGTTTCAGTGACAATTCTCAGTAGAAAATATTTTATTGAAAAAAATATCTATTGAGATGTTTTCTGTGCAATCAGAGAAAAAAATTGAGTGAAAAAAACAGAAAATTTCCCACTTCTAATCAACTAGAAACTTTTCTATTGATTTTGACTATACAATTTCTGTCGAATATTTCTATTGAAAAAACGTGTAATTTCCCAAAGAAATCTTTTAAAATTGAAAACTGATTAATAATTTTTCTCATTTTTTGACGCAGGCAATGCTGGATCGAGCCACTCTGGTCAGTTTCATCCAACTGAGGACTGATTACAAGACCCAGAAGCTAGCAAACTTCCTCAAGGGTCTCGCAACGACGTAATGAACATCACAAGAGAATTATTCGACTCAAAAAAAATTTCTCGAGGGAGAATTTTCGTAATTATGCATTCACTTCTCTAGAAGAAGTGTCTGTTGACGTTTTCCTCCCAAGAAAATGCCGCAATTACGTCGCAAAGGGGGAAATAACGAGTGAAGAAGGGATGGGGTTTTGGAAATAATAAACGACTTGTTACCGTATTAAACGTATCAACCTTCTTATTTCTTTCGATTCTGCTTTTTTCCCCTATAATAGTAACTATGGAGTGTGGTGATGTCACCCGTACATTTGTCATCAGTACAATGCCTCGATAAAAAAAACTTCCATCAACTCAACGTATTGTACCTTAAAAATTCTGAAATTCACTGAGAGTCATCTTTCAATTTTCGCTTTTTTATAAATAAAAACCTAAATTTTACGTGTATTACAGTACTAAAATACGATGTTCCACTTGATCGAGTGTATCAGGGTCCAGCACCCTTCAAAAACTAAATGATTTAAATCTTCAGGCGTTCGTTTTCATTCGTGTTTTGATGATGCAGACGCATCCTATTTATCGGAAGAGATGTCACAGCATCCAGTGATATTTTCCCAGTATAGTGGACCAGCGAGGGGGTGAGTTCACTAGACATCATTTTTTTACTGACATCTGGGAATTTGTGGGTGATGACTGCAGGGAAGTGATTAAAGTCGACAATTCCAATTTCGTATTCATTATCCTGTGATTATCTCGAGATCTGTTGGGTTTACGGGAAAAACTCATAAGATCTTTTCTGTGGGGAATTTAATTTCCTACAAAAAATGCCCCGGACATTTTTTCCTAAATCTATTAGGGTAGAAGTTATCAGCAAAAATCTGCGAGCATGAAATTTAAGATTTCGTAATCTATTTTGTAAATGTCTTTAAAAATGAGAGATTTTATTTTTGCGGAAAGTAAACTTCACCATAAAACACTTCTGTTCAATTTCGTCTCAAGGATAGTTCACGAAAATTTAAAAAAAGATGAGAAAACCCAAACAAAATTATAATTAAAATTGAAATTTAGCAAAAAAATCGTCATCTTTTGTAGATTACGAAATCCTTCCCAAAAAATCATCTCTCCCCTGAGCCCATCATCTCCGGAAACCTCCACAGAATAAATGCTCAACCCTTTCAGAGTCTGAAAACCTCTATTATGCAAATGCCTCCGAAGCCCCTAAACCCAGAGTCATCTCCCTCCTCCCTCCAGTGGCCCCTCACTCCCCTCCCCGAGCCCGATAAAACCCCCCACCCCCAATCAGCGCATACGATAGGTATTGGTCTCATGAACTTGGCACAATTCCCCCTTAAAGTCCAACTCAATACTGAAATCAAGATCCCGATAATTCCTGGCATTGGGTTTCATGGAGAAAACCCCGTAGATCTCCTCCCCCTTCTTGACGGTCATATACTCGTCAAAATAGAATACAGTCTGCTTCCAGTGTGTGTACTGTACCTGAAATCAAACATGAAACAAGATTTTATCTCATTAATTAATTAATTAATTTTAATTACAATTCTAAAAATTCATTAATTGATTGGTCAGACTGAATGAGCATCAATTCTACATTAAATACTAGTTAATTAGACTAATTCTCACTAAATCGAGAATCCGTACAACTCTTCGTTGCATTTTCACTTATTTCTGGTAACAAAATCGAAGACTAAAAACTTGGAAATTATTATTCAAGAATTCTAGCTGAAATAATCCCAGAGGAGTCAACGCCTAAATCCTTTCTTCTATGAACAAATATCTATTGAAAAATGCACGTGAAAGTAACATAATCTCTGAGAGAATTGACGCAACAAACAAATATAATTTTCGATAGATTCATCTCATAAATTGATTTATGTCGAATATGTCCGAATCCACTGCAGATAGCGAAATTTTCATATCCACATTTTTTGTAGCTCTCTCTTCGTTCTACGAAAAAGGTTAGAACAAAAATTTTGCTATCTCCCTCCCATTCCGAGATATTAATTGAAAACTGGCCACTAGTCACAATTGACTTGAACCGGTTTACCACTTCGCTCCTGAATTATTTAAATATTTTCAAATTTCAAGTAAGACAAAACCCTACAAACGTAATGATTGTCGCCCGATGGCAGCTAAATACTGACGTACAATTACATAAAAACTAGGGGAGCATGGGGCAAAATGAAACACGGGGCAAAAAGAAACAGTGGGAAAATCTCGTCATCTAAAGGAGATAGGACATTTTTGAAGAGGACCTTTTTTGTAGCTTGTAAAATTCTCTACAAAAAAGGTTCCCATGAAAATCGTTCTATCTCCCTTAGATCACAAGATTTTCTTGCTGTTTCATTTTGCCCCGTGTTTCATTTTGCCCCACCGTCCCCTAGATAAAAAAAATATACCTCAGGAGCAGTGCTGAAGCCAATTCGCTTGTGGCACTTGGTGAATTCGATATTGAAGAACGTAACTAGAGCCTGCACGTAGTCATTCCTGCGCACTTGTAGAGTGAATGGGGACGCAAACTCAAGATCAGCTTTGGTGACAGTGTAGAGATCGACTTCCTTGATGAGGCATGCATTAGTGACGACCTGTTTGGGATCGACGACGTCGACGAGTGGTTCACTGATGGCTACTTTGCGAATGGAGCTCATGTCGAAGCCGTAGACGTCGTCCCACCAGTTGATCTTCTCGTCCTTGTACTGGCGATCCTCGATGCCGCAGATGTAGAGAGTGGCCTTGTCGGGGAACAGCATTCCATTCTCCTTGAGCCACTTGTCCCTGGCGAAGAGGACGGTGTCCAGCATGGACTCGTAGAAGAGGCAGTAGCCCATCCACTCCGAGATTATGATGTCGACCTTCTCGATCCCATGGGGCAGCACCACCTCCTCCACCTTGCCCTTGAGTATCGTCACCACGTGGGACAAGTGGTTCGCCTCGACGATCTTCTCGGCGTACTCCACGATGTTCGAGCACTCGATACCGATCACTCGGGCAGCCCCTGCTTTCGCTGCAAACATCGAGAGAATTCCTGTGCCACAGCCGATGTCCAGGACTATCTTGTCCTTGAACAGGTGCTTGTTGAGGTACATCGAGTTTCGGTACGTCATTGTGCGCACCTCGTCCTTCAGCATCTCCTCGTGGATCGCGTAGTGCGCGTACGAGTCGAAGTAGTAGTCTCGGGAGGTCATCTCGTCCACTGGGACTTTGTTGTTCATGAGGGGAGCCTCGGGGGTCGGCAACTCCTTCGGGGGAAGGGCCGATTCTCCTACTTCCATGGTTTCCATTTTTGTCGGCTGGGGGAGTTCAAGTCGTTGTGAGCATTTTTTGGAGGAAGTTTTTACTATTTTTTTTTGGAAATTTGGGGGAAGGGGGGGGGGGGCTTGGAGGTTTTTATCGGGTTGGGGTTTCACTGAAATTGCAGGATTTCGTGGTGGGAATTTTGGATCTCTGGGGAAACGTCGATAGAAAGTGGGAGTTTTAGGTTGACTGTTAGAGGAGAATCAACAGAAATTCGGAAAGTTTGGAGTGATTTATTGTGGAATGAGGAATTAATTGGAAATTTAGGGCAATTTGAGATTAGATATTCATGGGTTTGTTGAAAATTGAAGGGAATTGGGAAATTTTTGTTTCCCTGCTGCTCAGAAATTTAGAATTTTATTGAATTTTTAGGGTGATTGGGTATTTATTACTGTTAAGACATTTTTCACTGAAATTAAAAAATCTTTGAAAGAATTACTGGAAAGTATGAATTTTAGTTTGACTATTTCATGAAAATTGACAGAAATTAGGAACGTTTAAATCAATTTATTGTTGAATACGAAATTAATTGGAAATTCGGTGTAATTTGTCACTGAATATTCATGGTTTTGTTGAAAATTGAAGGGAATTGGGAAATTTGTGTTTCCCTGCTGCTCAAAAATTTAGAATTCCATTGAATTTTTAGTGTGATTTTATATTTGTTACTGTTAAAACATTTTGGACTGAAATTAAAAAATCTTTGAAAGAATTACTGGAAAGTGTGAATTTTAGTTTGACTATTTCATGAAAATTGACAGAAATTAGGAACGTTTTAATCAATTTATTGTTGAATACGAAATTAATTGGAAATTCGGTGCAATTTGTCACTGAATATTCATGGTTTTGTTGAAAATTGAAGGGAATTGGGAAATTTTTGTTTCCCTGCTGCTCAAAAATTTAGAATTTTATTGAATTTTTAGGGTGATTGGGTATTTGTTACTGTTAAGACATTTTTGACTGAAATTAAAAAATCTTTGAAAGAATTACTGGAAAGTGTGAATTTTAGTTTGGCTATTTCGTGAAAATTGACAGAAATTAGGAACGTTTAAATCAATTTATTGTTGAATACGAAATTAATTGGAAATTCGGTGCAATTTGTCACTGAATATTCATGGTTTTGTTGAAAATTGAAGGGAATTGGGAAATTTTTGTTTCCCTGCTGCTCAAAAATTTAGAATTTTATTGAATTTTTAGGGTGATTGGGTATTTGTTACTGTTAAGACATTTTTGACTGAAATTAAAAAATCTTTGAAAGAATTACTGGAAAGTGTGAATTTTAGTTTGACTATTTCATGAAAATTGACAGAAATTAGGAACGTTTTAATCAATTTATTGTTGAATACGAAATTAATTGGAAATTCGGTGCAATTTGTCACTGAATATTCATGGTTTTGTTGAAAATTGAAGGGAATTGGGAAATTTTTGTTTCCCTGCTGCTCAGAAATTTAGAATTTTATTGAATTTTTAGGGTGATTGGGTATTTGTTACTGTTAAGACATTTTTGACTGAAATTAAAAAATCTTTGAAAGAATTACTGGAAAGTGTGAATTTTAGTTTGACTATTTCATGAAAATTAACAGAAATTAGGAACGTTTTAATCAATTTATTGTTGAATACGAAATTAATTGGAAATTCGGTGCAATTTGTCACTGAATATTCATGGTTTTGTTGAAAATTGAAGGGAATTGGGAAATTTTTGTTTCCCTGCTGCTCAGAAATTTAGAATTTTATTGAATTTTTAGGGTGATTGGGTATTTGTTACTGTTAAAACATTCTGGACTGAAATTAAAAAATCTTTGAAAGAATTACTGGAAAGTGTGAATTTTAGTTTGACTATTTCATGAAAATTGACAGAAATTAGGAACGTTTAAATCAATTTATTGTTGAATACGAAAATAATTGAAAATTCGGTGCAATTTGTTACTGAATATTCATGGTTTTGTTGAAAATTGAAGGGAATTGGGAAATTTTTGTTTCCCTGCTGCTCAAAAATTTAGAATTTTATTGAATTCTCAGTGTGATTTGATATTTGTTGCTGTTGAAAAAATTTTAACTGAAATTTCTGGTACACAAATATCTCGAAAAAAATCACTAGAAACTAAATTTCAATTCAATTATTCCAAGAAGATTAACAGAAATTAGGAAAATTGAGATTAATATACTTTTTAATACGAAATTAATTGGAAATTCAGTGTAATTTGAGACTGAATATTCATATTTTCATTTAAAATCGAAGTAAATTGAGATAAAAAATAATAATTCTCACATAATACTAGTAATAGTATTTATAATAGTAATTCTCGTCTCCCTGTTACCCAAAAATTTAGAATTCCCTTAAATTTTGCAGTGAAATTTCAAATTTCACAATTCTCTTTTTAATCGAATCCAACTCCAGTACATTTCAAGGAAAATCATGAGACAAATGAATCAGTATCGCTCAATTTAAAATAATGAAACAACAAAATAAATAATAAAACCAAAGACAGTAAATGACCGATTTCAGAGAACACCTTCAAGTCCTGAAAAAACAAAATAATTTCCCCTTCTCGCCCCAAAAAAAACGTTGGAAAAAGTTCGCAATCTCCTCCAAATCCCGAAACCTTGACCAAAAACCATCATCGAACCAAAAATCCTCGCCATCAATCTCCGATTTTCTCTCTCGCGGTCCAACGAAATCTAATTAATTCTTCGGAGCAAATACTCGAGATCACGTAGACCATCTCCTGTTGTTATGACGACAATGACCGAATTACCGAAATGAATTTTCGTCTGGAAACTCCAGAAAATAACGGACATCCCACTGATGCTTGAATTTTGGCATTGATTATCGTCATTAACTCGCATTTCCGAGGAACGAAAAATTTAAAATTAAATTCTCCCAGCGTCCACGTGCCCGCCAAAAAGATTGACGTCCATTTTGCGACAATTTACGTGGAACACATCCACCAATGCACGAGTCAACCGCTCAAAATTCCTCAGCCCCCGCGACCAAATGCCCCAAAAATTTCAAGACTTCAACTCTTTATTCTCCGAAAATTATTTTTTTTCCGGAGCTGGGGAGCATGTCCGCGAGAACGCATTGGCGACTAGTCTCGGGGGAATTGTTAAAACTAAATTGACAATTTCCCAAGGTGAGAACTGATGTCTCAGCGGGACTGATCGGTCAGAATGGGGATAAAATCTGGGGACGGAGATGGGCAATTGAATTGGTGAAATACTTACGTTGTTCTCGTTGACTAACGTATCGTTCTCGCCGAGGTCTGCCGGCACTTTGTTAACCTCCGCCATTTTGCTTGAGCGTCCTAACGTGATGCCGTAGAGATTGAAGGTGCACCCGCACGGGCGTTAGGCGCCGTTTTCACGACGAGAGTTCGGGGAATTTCCGGGAGATGTCGGCGGAAAATTTGACGAATGAGTCTGCTTTACCGACACATGACCGAAAGTCGATTTTCCCCCTGAAAAAATCCAAGGTCTGACCCTTGGCGCCAGGTGAAAAAAAAAATTTTTCATTTTTCACTTTTTCCGAATACTTTTAAGAGTTCTGGATAGCCCGTCGCCTGAATTATCGGAATCAACGTTCACTCGGCGAAAAAATTCGAGTTTGGTGAAAGTCAACTTTCCCCCTGAAAAAATCCAAGGTCTGACCCTTGGCTCCAGGTGAAAAATTTTTTTTTTCATTTTTCACTTTTTCCAAATACTTTTGAAAATCCTAAATGTGACACTCGGGCCACAGGTTCACGCGGTAATTCAATTAATCTGTTGTTCATCTCATCAATCTAATTCCTGCTTAGAACATTGTCATCTCGTGTTTTCAGCACCAACTTGAAAATTAAATCTTCATTTGGAATGTTGAGTCACAGCTTCTGTTTATTCATATCAGAAATTGTCAATTTTCATGATGCCGCAGCACCAGCCATTCCCTCAAACCTGACCAGACGGCAGATTTCCGATTTGACAAGGGGTGGAACTCCCACGCGTCTGTGGGTAACGAACAATTCGAGGGTGTACGGAAACCGATGGCCACCCTCTTCCCATTTTCGTTTCATTTCCAGCCCTTGCTCCCCCTTTTTTGCACCCCTCCACTCTCTCCTGTTTTTCTAGAAGAAATTTTTATGTAGTATCCTAAAATACCCCTCTTTTAATCTCGTCCGTCTGTTCCAAATGGTATAATTCTCCGGGAGAAAAAGGGATGGATATTTTTACTTCATCAATTGCGAACGAATGTCGGTAAATGAAACAGTGGAATAGTATAATAAACACACTATAGGGAGGACGAAATTTCTCTGATGGAAAATACACGAACTCATATTTTTCAAGATAAAAATGAAACTTCTCCACCCTCTCGAAAAAATTTAGATAAACATTTCATCGAAATTACCTACCATTCATTATTCACAAAATTTGACCAAAATCCTCTCTGAATATTTTTATTACCGCCAGGCAGATGCCCACAGACAATGCCACCTCATAAAAACCCAGGAATTCTCACCCTCGAGACATTGAATTTTCCTGAAAAACATTCGCCAGGGAAAAATATTCATTACATGCATTTTAATCCGGGTTTCAGGGAGAAACCGGGAGGATTAAACCTGCAATAAAACTTTTCTCTTTTTGTTCTTCCTACCGTATGTGACAAAAGAAATGACCGATTGTCGCTTGCACTTGACCAGGTCTAATCTCCCCCCAATAAAACTTCGAAGAAAAGGGTTGCGGCATTACAAAGGGATTAACAATTTTTTGCCCTCCACAACCATTTTACCCCCATGCTCCTTAATTGATCGGTAGTTTTATATTGGTGGTAGAGTGGCAGCCGGGTTGGGGGAGGGGGAAGGGGCTCCTGTGGAGGGGTAAAAGTGGTGAAAAGAATTTTCTTATGCGGTAGAAAAAAGAATGGAAAGAATAGGGGGGAGATTAGCACGAGTACCTGAAGTCGACCCTCGGACCAAGTGTTGCCAGCGCTACCCTTCGACACCCCAATCCTTCCATTTTATCGTTTTATAGGCCTCACAGTGCGTCTGGGTTGCAATAAAATCCGGTAGTTCCCCAATCCGAGACAGTGCGGTTTTTTCTGTCTCAAGGATTTTTCGTTATAAAAGTTGAGGACATTCTTCTTTGGGCCATTGGGCGGCGGGAGGAGGAGAGGAAAAACTCGTTAATGGTTTAGAGAGTATTGAGAAAGTGGAAACGAATGGTGAGGATTATTTTTGGGTCGAGGAAGAGGAGACACAGAGGTGTAAAAAGTTTATTGCACTCGTGTTGAATGAAAGAAAATTTTTTGCGAGAATTTCGCCAACTGATGGCCGGGTTTTTCTGAATTTTAGGGAGGTGCCACGATTTTTCTTGTATTTCTTTCCACGTCTGGAGCATTATTTTTATTTGAATATCCTGGAAACATTTGACTGAGTTTTCGATTTGAAAAGTTTTTGTCAGATGACTTGGGATTATTTTTTCGCCACAGAAAGAAAATAGTTTTTTATTTTTTTCACATTGTGTAACAGGTAGGTGCACTGATAGAGGCCATTTTTTCGCTTTTATTTAATATGGGAAAGAGGGGCACGTCACTATATGGGTAGTCAATAAAGATAGGCCTAGAACCGATGAAAAAAAAACTGGCAAAAAAATCCCCTTCCTTCAACAGGTCGACTCCCCTTTTTTTTATGTTGAAGTGGTGTAATGGGTGTGTAACGCGAGCTGTGTATCAATGGAGATATCTAAAAAACCCGTGGAGAAAAAACTCCCCTCGATGAAAACAGGTTGACGTTTATCCTCGCAAGGCGTGGTTAACGGGTTTTAAACCGCCAATGGGGCTCGGCCCGCTCCTTTCGTCACCCCAGCACGTGAGTTAAAGGGTTTAAAGGGTTGGGGGATGTCGAGAGTCACTTTAAAACGTCAACAGGTCGTTCTAAAGTGGAAATAACTCAATGATAACGAAAACATTTTTCCCATTCCTCTCTCCATACTTAAAAAAATTAATTTTCATTCACTGTTTGTTTAACAAATCAACAAAGGAGAATTATAATTGTAATTCTGGATGAAATTTCTCTGTCTTTTTTATGACACCACTTGTAACTGTCAATCTCGTCGACTTCTCGAAGAGAACAAATTGTCTTCGGACTCATTGATCGATTTTAACCGAAAATAAATAAGAATTCAACTCGATGTCATCCAAATGTTATGAAATTTGTCTTGGTGATGAATACTCAATGAAAAAAAATCTCTTCTGAGTTTTATTGTCATCCATCAGTGTCAGGAATTCATCTCAATACGGATTTACATCTCAAACGAATGAATCAGGATATTTCTCCCCCCTGAAAAGGCCCACGCATTTCCGGGCGTTTAGAGTATAAAGAGATGCGGTAGATCGGTAAAGAATACTCGTACCTACATTTTCAACCCCGAAAAAAAGCCCAACAATCTCGAAAACGTGTGTCATCGATTTTTTTGTCCAACTGTCCTATTTTTTTCGTTTTTTTTATTCTCCCCCGGTTTCTGTCGTTACTTGGTCCATTGTGCGGGGTACAGGGAACAGCAGTGCATTAAAATGTGTTCTTTAACGGGCCCCGATTTCCATTGTGCGCACGGCCATTTGAGAACGTTTGAGCAGCCGTTCGTGAAAACCCAAAAGTCCGTGATTTTGCGAAATGAAAAAATAAATCAATTTTAACGACTTCAGGGGTGAAGTGGGGGCGGAATGTTGGTACGATTTTTTCCGCTGGGCGATTGGAATTCTCAAATGCATTTCTCTATTTATATATTTTTTTTAGGAAATGAACATTTAAGCAGGAAGTCTTCACGTGCTCTTGAGCCGACGGTATCGAATGTCGACAGTGGGTCAAGGTGGACACAAAAACGGTAGAAAAAAATCGAGGGGGGGATGAGGCAGAAGAAAAAAATTGAAAAAGGAAAAAAAGAGAGGTTTAAAAAGTGGCCGGAATTAACGCGTGCCACGAGGGATATTTTCCTCTCCCCCTCGAGAGACATCGTGGGCTACCGCTTGGGGTGCACACACGCAAGCGCTCTTCATTGCTCCGCCCTGACCGTGAAAGACGTGTGCCCCCTCGCTCGAACCGATACAAAAAAAGAAAAAAATGTATAAATGAGAATGATCAGAATGCAGGCTTTCGTTTCGTTCTGTAAAATCGGATTTCAGCGTGTTTTCCTCTTCGGTGATTCCACCAATCCGGTATTATCGAAATGCGGTTCGTTTAGCCATCAAGTGCTGCTATTATTTTTTTTGAGGAGTTTCGGCGAGTCATTGAATTGTCATCATTAATAGAATATTACGTTGAGGTTTTTTCTAATGGAATTTTTATTTTTTGGGAGTAATATCCAATTTGATTTGTGGAATAATTTTTTTAATTCATTGATGTTATGAATATCTGTTCACTTTGCGGGTTTTGATCGTTTTGGAATGATTATATTTTATCACAGAATAGGATGCGGATATTCGAGAATATCCACAAAACCTCAAGTCACGAAGTTCATCTCAATCGACGCGTGAGCCTTCAAGCTGCCAATTTCATCATGCACGAACTAGGCTACAGTAATCCTCGAGTGTAAAAAAATTCAAGTACTAGAGTCATGCCCACATCCACACACATACAAACGGTTATTTTTTCTACGCATCAGATTCTTTCCGTTCCGACTATTTTCAGTCGCGCCCCAAAAAAAATTGGAGTCGAGAACTCTCACGCAACAAAATTTACTTCCGTAAGCAAAAGAAATTTGTCACAAAGCAAAAAGTCCCCAGAAAATTGAGTTTATTGTCGCCAGTCTTTTTATTCGATCAATTTCAAAAGATGTTTCGCCCGTTTTTCCCCTCTCGAGTAGACGTAAAATCGAGCCATAACGAACCTCATAAAGTACGTTTGCAACGGTGGCCATATTCAGTAAGCCTTGATGCAGTCGTGTTGGATCGAATTGGTCAGTTTTTCACTCCGACAGCAACCTGATAAATACAGAGCAGCAATACTCCCCCCCAATTGAAAAAGTATCCTTGCCCCCCCCGTTGAATTGGAAAATACTCAGGGGTCACGTTGTCATCGAGAGGGGTCAGTCTTTGAACAATGCCGGGTGCGTGGCCTCTGCACCCCAGGGTTAATATGCGGGCAACTAAACATTGGCACTGGACAATAACAAGATTTATAGTTACTTTTTCTTACTGTGTTACACATACGCGAATGCACGATTCCTCTATGAAGCATGTGACCACTGGCCATTGTCCAGTTGCTGGCAGAATGTGTGTCTCTGAACCCCGTGAGATATTTCTGTTATTGAATCTCGTGAAAAATCCTGGGTTAGTGTTTAGTT